GGTGAATATGAACCCCGTGAGAGGGTGGGTTTTAGTTGAATTTAGAAAACTTTTATTTTTCACGGATACAGTGCAGGGTGAAAATCTTTTATTTTTTAATTTAATTCCGGTATGGGGATGCAAAGGTTTTTTACATTGGAAACTGATAACAGGGTCAAAGAGCAACATTTTTAGCACTATACCTTGTTACTGAGAGGGTGGGTTTTGACCGAAACCACCCCTCAAATTTTAAAATTCGAAAATAGGGGATGAAGGGGTGACATGCAAAAGTTTTTTAGCTCGAAATCTTGTTTCTCGTAATTTTTTACGTCAGTATGGTGAATATGAACCCCGTGAGAGGGTGGGTTTTAGTTGAATTTAGAAAACTTTTATTTTTCACGGATACAGTGAAGGGTGAAAATCTTTTATTTTTTAATTTAATTCCGGTATGGGGATGCAAAGGTTTTTTACATTGGAAACTGATAACAGGGTCAAAGAGGAACATTTTAAGCATTATAACTTGTTACTGAGAGGGTGGGTTTTGACCGAAACCACCCCTCAAATTTTAAAATTCGAAAATAGGGGATGAAGGGGTGACAAGCAAAAGTTTTTTAGCTCGAAATCTTGTTTCTCGTAATTTTTTACGTCAGTATGGTGAATATGAACCCCGTGAGGGGTTGGGTTTTAGTTGAATTTAGAAAACTTTTATTTTTCACGGATAAAGTGCAGGGTGAAAATCTTTTATTTTTTAATTTAATTCCGGTATGGGGATGCAAAGGTTTTTTACATTGGAAACTGATAACAGGGTCAAAGAGCAACATTTTTAGCACTATACCTTGTTACTGAGAGGGTGGGTTTTGACCGAAACCACCCCTCAAATTTTAAAAATCGAAAATAGGGGATGAAGGGGTGACATGCAAAAGTTTTTTAGCTCGAAATCTTGTTTCTCGTAATTTTTTACGTCAGTATGGTGAATATGAACCCCGTGAGAGGGTGGGTTTTAGTTGAATTTAGAAAACTTTTATTTTTCACGGATACAGTGCAGGGTGAAAATCTTTTATTTTTTAATTTAATTCCGGTATGGGGATGCAAAGGTTTTTTACATTGGAAACTGATAACAGGGTCAAAGAGGAACATTTTAAGCCACATAACTTGTTACTGAGAGGGTGGGTTTTGACCGAAACCACCCCTCAAATTTTAAAAATCGAAAATAGGGGATGAAGGGGTGACATGCAAAAGTTTTTTAGCTCGAAATCTTGTTTCTCGTAATTTTTTACGTCAGTATGGTGAATATGAACCCCGTGAGAGGGTGGGTTTTAGTTGAATTTAGAAAACTTTTATTTTTCACGGATACAGTGCAGGGTGAAAATCTTTTATTTTTTAATTTAATTCCGGTATGGGGATGCAAAGGTTTTTTACATTGGAAACTGATAACAGGGTCAAAGAGCAACATTTTTAGCACTATACCTTGTTACTGAGAGGGTGGGTTTTGACCGAAACCACCCCTCAAATTTTAAAATTCGAAAATAGGGGATGAAGGGGTGACATGCAAAAGTTTTTTAGCTCGAAATCTTGTTTCTCGTAATTTTTTGCGTCAGTATGGTGAATATGAACCCCGTGAGAGGGTGGGTTTTAGTTGAATTTAGAAAACTTTTATTTTTCACGGATAAAGTGCAGGGTGAAAATCTTTTATTTTTTAATTTAATTCCGGTATGGGGATGCAAAGGTTTTTTACATTGGAAACTGATAACAGGGTCAAAGAGGAACATTTTAAGCCACATAACTTGTTACTGAGAGGGTGGGTTTTGACCTAAAATATTAATATTGTGTTTGAATCAACCTCCAAATTTCTTAGGTTGGCACCCTGCTTTTTTCCGTCGCTGCTAACGCTATCGCTATCGCTAACTTCAGTCAAGTAAAGTATAAATAAAAATTCATTGATGAAATCGATTTAAAAACTGAATGGAAACATCAGCGTATATGCAATAAAAACAAACAACAGCTGATTGCGAGAGTGAATTACAAGCACTGCCAGCATGCATTTTTTTTTCATCGATTACCATTATACCAACCGATCGACGCATGATCACATTTTTAATTTATTATGCCGAAGGTGCACACATGTGACTGGCTTGTTAATCGGCGCTGCTACCAGGCCAACACCGCGCCGACTGCACGTGAATAAATTATGCGTGTATAAAAAGCGAGCGATATCTAATGGCAAGGCCGCGTGTGAAACCATTGTCAAGGCGAGCAGACCAACGGAATTTTTATACCGCCTCTGATTCGACTGCTGACTGAGTATGTATAGCATTGGCAGATTAATGTAAGTAAAAGCTGCGCGACCTCTAAACAATCTTGCGAACATTTAATTTATAAAAAACGCTAAACAGGCGCTTGTTTAAAGGTGAACCGGAGCAAAATTTTGGATGATCGTCAGATAAAAGTAACAGCTGACAAGGTCTCGGGTGCAATAAAATGTCTGCAGAATATAAATGAGACTATTAGATCATTCACAGATGAACTTGAACTTTACCTAAATTCGGAAATCTCCAATTAAATGCCTCAAAATATTGGAGGTCAAGCGGAACTGGATATTTTCAAGAAGTGCAGCTTATAATTGTGGGAAAATGTTATACTGGTGAAGCTTGCAATAAACTTAAAGATTATAATTTCATCTACTTTTGTTTGAGATTGTTAATTCTCGGTGTTCACATTCAAATTTAGATCAAAGAAATTTTTGATGATTTGTTTGCAGAATATTATATAAGCTACACAATTTTTTCACTTTATGTGCACAAATATTTCTTGACTATTTATGATTTGATTGATCATGAATGTGGTATAAAATATAGAATAGTAGTATTATTTATTGCCATATACAAATAAAAACTTCAAAGGTTTCAAATTATTACTTTATATGGGAGTGATTATATTACATCAAAAGTGAAACGGCAAATTTATATCTATGCTATTATTTATGCCATTAACGTGATAAAACGCTGCACCAACCACGGCCAAATGCTATGTGAATAATACGATGATTAATTAATTTACAATCCTGATTTCCATACTGCTCTACCTCCACTCTAATGGAAAGCAATCGCTTCTCTTTGCACAGCATCAGTCTTAAGTGCAACTGAAGCGAGATTATTTGTAAAGTAACAGCAGCGCTCGGTTATAATTGAAAGTAAGAAAAGCAAATCCCAAGGTTGCTGCAAGCGTCGACAGAGATATTTGAAAAAAAAAAAGGTAATAAAGAAAACGTCTCAACGGAGCAATAGTAATTTCAAAGGTGGATCACTCACTCAGCTCTTGCGCAAGAACACATTGTATGGGAGTAATGAGCAATAAAAGGGGCAGTGCTACGGCGAAAAGTAAGTTCCCTAGAATTTCGCAAACCTTGAGAACGACATTGTTTACCGCAAAAATGTCCCATCGGCACAGAGATGTGAATTCTCACAGATTTGCGAAATGTTAATTAAAGTTAACTTAGAACGACATTAAAATCATTTGTAATTGTCGCAGCCCTTCCATTTACTTCAACTCTGCAGAAAGGATTTTTTTAAGCTTGATCAGGCTCAAACTAGGGCTTTTGTCTCCAGTGAATGGCTTTTCCGGGTAACGGAGGAAAGGGGTGTCTCGCTCAATTAAGCTGCAAAATGCTGCTGCTGCATGCGCACTGCTATACTTTTTCTTTTCGCCGTGATCTGTCGGCAGGCCGGGTTGGTAAAATTGCTCCATATTATGCCTGTGCCGTGCAGAGCTGAATGGTCTTTTAATGCCGGCAGCAAAGTCAGCGACTTTTTCAATGACTATAAAGGGTTTATTGAACTGTGAATTATTGTTTCATCAAGCCGCAACTCTGATTCAGGTCATCGTCTCAATAGCTCCGCGCCACATGATGCTGCAGCGGCGTTACATGCGATCCTCTCATTATTATTTTATATCTATTTCCAACTTTATGAACTATTTCTAACTTTACAAAAGAGGTGCTTTACCGCAGTTAAAAGGAGAGGATAATTTATTATGTATTATTGATTATTGAGCGCCAAGCCCAGCTTTGCTCCTCTAGTTTAGTGAAATATGCAATATTTAATGGAATAGGAGAGAATTATTGTATTCTATTCTATTTCATTAAAACGCATGGACGCATTAACAACTGTTCAAGTCGATGCCAATTAAATTACAATCAATGAATGAGTTATGTTTTTCAGCATCCACTATTCACCAGCAATCTTCCAGAGAAATATTTTTTCCGGATTTTCTTTTTATGTAAAATAAATCTGGTGAATTTCACTTCGCTAATATGGAGAATTCAGAGGCAATATCCATTTTCCCAGTGAGGGTGAACTTCAAGTTTGCGATCGATCGATCGTGCCAAAAGAAGTGAGATAGAATCGCGAACCTTTCCTCATTTCTACATTGAAATTACATGCCAGAAGCACGTGATTTCACTTCATGCACTCGGAGAGTCGATCGGAATTTTACAATTTGCGATGAAAGTTTTATTCGCCGCCCAGCGTATCCACGTTATCAAGCACAGTCCCTCAATTTCGCAATTTTATTAGACACAGTAAATATTGGCAGGTGGTTTTTATTGATTATCATAAAAGAGAGTTGCACCCTCAAGATAGACCAAGAGAGATTGATGGCTCTTCGAAGGCCTAACTCGGAGATACGCGCTGACAAACTTTTGTAAACAAACGCGCCGAGGAAGAAACAAACCGGCTCGAGTAGGAAATAAACAGACCCCTCGATGCTTGCGGGCGAATCGAAATTGAATCAGCGGCGACGGCGCCGGGTATGACTAACAATGAGCCTCTTTTCTTTGGAAATATAAATATATGACTATGGCGGGTGTGTGGGCTCTAAATAATTTTGTTGTGAAAAGGAACGAGAGAAAGTAAATTCTTATGAATATTTCTTCAAAGTAGAATGTTTTTTCTTGAAAATTCGAATGCATAAAAATAAATTTTATCAAAATAAAGTATGAAAAAAAAATAATTAAATGTACTCACCACTTGTCGCAAATCGTATTTGTCCTTTCCCATGTTGATTCTGCAACACAAATGAGCAACGCACTGAGCAAAAATTTCTTTTCAACAGTTTATAAATTTATCATTTATGAGAGCGAACAGGCGAACCTCGCGGATCAGGTCGCAGACATGGAATGAAATGTTTGATGGACTGACCGAGTCAAGCGTCTGAAGGTTTGCCCGCCACCGTCGACTGGCCGACCAAATGCAGAAGGTGAGGATACACGACCGCACTATGCAGTGCTTGAAAACGAACGGGACTGATTCAGGTGGGGGATTTTTAGAGGCAACATGCTCGCGACTTTCGGTTGCTGCAAACTGCTCAAAATAAAAATAGATACATTCTATCTTTTTCTTGAATACGTGTAATTTTTGGGGAATTCCTGGCGGGAATGCAATAAAATTGTTTGAGCCGGTTCGAGAATTTTCTAACATGCTGGTACATGCTGTTTCAAGTAGGGATACAGTTGAGCGACTATCAGAAATTATATAATAGTTTCTGTAAAAAAAATTCTTCCATAGTAATTAACGCCATTTTCATATTACAATTATTTCAATTATACAATAATTATAAGAATTACTTATTTAATGATATAATGAAATAAAAATTTCAAATGGCAATAATTTTGTCTGTTCCTACTTTTCAAATAAACAATGAAATAAACAAACACACAAATTTTTAATAAACAAACAAAAAGTAAATAAACAAATTATATATTTATAAAAGGCTAAAATAATATTATGCAATGAGACTACAACTTGAATTGTAAAAATTTTAATCATATTATTAATGTTTGTTAATCACAAAGAGAATTTGGATCATATAATTTATGTGCAGAAAAAAGTTACAAAATTTAAAATGTATTTTAATATTTCTATTGTCATGACTAAACTCTCACTTTCATATAAACACTTATACTGAAGCAGCTTTTTTTTTTAATTTTCCTGAATCTTCCTTACTCATTTCACACTCACACGAGCAAGAGCAATTCTGGAACAATTCTCAGAAGCTGCAGAATTGTTGCAAGCAAAAATTCAGAGCACAACAGAGGGAGAAAAAGTGGCGGATAATCGCGACTGACAACACCGCGACATGCATTGCGCACCGCGAAGGTCGTAGCGATTCTTCACGCTCCGTTTCTCATTATTTTACGCCGACGTCTGAACCATTTTCCCTTTTTCTTTTTTTTACATAATAGCACGTTCGCGCATGTACTGAAAGTACATCTCAAATGAAACAAGAAGTATATACGAATGGAAAAAATAAAGGGCTGGTAGAAACGAAAAGAAAGGTACTCTAAATGGAGAGCGCGTGTATCGCAGCAGTGTGGACCGCGTATATTGTATGTGCCTTTTGTTATCTCTATGCCGCTCGTCTGCTCTCTCACAATCAGTGAAAATGAGAGTATTTGCACATGCGACACATCATTATTCTGGCGAAAAAAGCACCGATAGTTGCGGACAGGTGCTTTTCGTAATCATTAAATTAAATTTGCAATTCAGAGCCAGCGGCTATATTTGAATTGAACCACCCATTTTTTTAGACAAGTTGTCGAAATTATTATTTTTTTTTTATTGGTTTTTGCTTTTTTTCCCATGAATTTCAATATTTTACACACACGGTCATATGCAAAGAGCTTTGATGTTGGGCCTGCTTTTATATTTTTAATTTGTTCGCTCTCTCTCGCCGCTGTTTACTCGCCAAATTTGCTGCGTGCCATAATTACGTTGAATGCAAACAGCACAAAGCTGCTGAGCAAATGAGCAGTGGTTGGAAATTCAGGCAAGATGGCATAAATTTCACTGCACACGCTGTTGATACCAACGATTTGAAACAAACCAAGATGAGTGAAAATACACTAATAAAAAAATATTGAAGAACTAGGAGTTCAGATAAGCTGTTAATACACATGTTTTTCTATGTACGTATGAAAAATATTTAATGATCATTTATACAAATCAACGGCAGCTCTAAAAATTCCAATTAATCATGATAATTTATTTGTAATTTCAAGCATTGTGACAAAATAAAAAATCTCGTTCACACAAAATTTCTGTTAATGTCTTACGTCTAAAAAAGATAATAAAAATCAATTAATTTGACAACAATTTAAATTGTTTTTGATCACAATGAAGTTTTTGAACCAAAGTGGGCGTTTGAGTTTGTGCAAAGGCTTATTGTAGTATGCAAATTAGTTCACCGGCATTTCCAATATAGGGCGCATTACACAGTGCTTACACAATCAAATTACATTCGCTGGTCTACATAATGCATTAGCGGAGAGAAGAGAGGCCCATCGGCCGGTCGCTTCGAGAGCTTTGCGGTGCAGTATCTGCCGCAATTATGCCGTGAAAACCAAATTAATGGGGCGAAAGCACCCGGGGCGGGGCAATCTTTGGCTCGTTTCGGCACCACGACTAATTATGACCCCGGCGGCTGTCTCGCAAATCCCCCAAGTGCCTCGAATTCCCGATGTATTGGCCATTCCGGCCGCACCAACGAGCAAGCCTAGGGCTTTGGTCATTACAGGTTTGGTTGGTCACAAAGAATATTAAATCACTTCGGAATGCAATTTGTGCAGACCAGGACATTTCCGTCGATTTATAAAAGGGGATTATTTTTTCCTTCCTGTGAATGGCAATTAATCATACATTTAGAAAAGAGCGTTTTGGTCTGATGAATTTAATAAATGGCATGGTAAACTAATTTGATGTGGCTATATTAATTAGTCAGGCAGTGGCTGAATGTTGTCATTTTCTACAGAGAAAGGTAAATTTCCTGCTTCTCAATATAGGTTTAAATAAATTGCTGATGGCCCCTTGGGTGACGAATGGAAATTACAAGAAATCAAGTGGAACTGATCAAACTTTTATTACACATTGTTAGTTTCGATATTATCTGGCGGTAAAAATTTATATTGTAGAGCAACAATTTTTCTCTAAAAAGACATTTTTTACTCTCAAAATTGAAATCTTTTTACTTTAAATTGTATAAAAACTTTTGATTTTTTTAAACTTTTATATTTATTAATAACACAAAAAATACGATCAAGAAAAGAATAATTCTTTACTTAAAAATATTGAAACATAAAATATTAATTTAATAATATTTTATTTTGCTTTTCTCTCAAATTTATTATTATGACCCTCCTCCAATTTAGGAGAAGCAAAAACAGCTCTTTCGTTTAGATTCAAATATTGCAATAATTTGTCAACACTATCCGCGAGTGCAGCTCATCACTTATCTGTCAATTTGAAGGGAACGACCTGCTTTATTTCGCCTGCTTTTTATCAAAAGTTATGTTATGTCAGCACAACACGCGCGCGCGCGCGCGCGAATACTGTCAAGGGCACCTTTTAAAAATTTCTGTGTGTAATATTTTCTGGCTCCTCTCCATATCACTCTCAATTGGCGTTTGTAGGGCAAACTAGATTAGTGCGTGGAAACCAATAAGGTGGAAATTTTCAATACTCTAGTGCGAAAACTATAGGCTGTATTGAAACGCAAATGGCCTGGAAGACTGTGACATTACTGATGATTGATTTCCTCATTCAAAGTGCCCTTTTTATCAAAATTATTCGTGGAAAAAATTCGCAAAACTCTTTCTGTGAAAAAGCAATTAGGATTATCAACGCCAATTTTTGTTTCGTGCGTTCTTCAAACTATCCTTAGGGTTTGAATAAAAGTCCTGCAAATAATACACTTGTCTTCATCTGGCCGTCTCTTTTAAGTTGGCGAGACGCTGGCCATGCAGCCTTCGTTTTCACATGACAGAACCGCAGGCGAAGCGAATAAGAAGAAAATACCACACGCCTCGAGCAGCGCAGAAAAGGAGCAAAAAAGTGCACGAAGCTGATTCATTTGTATGAAAGTGAAAGTTCCGGGTCGTATTTTGTTCAAAGTCACACGTTTATTCACTCAGGATACAAATTCAAGAAAATTATTTTCGGCCTCAAGGACATCAGCTGCCGCTCTTTTAATGAAGCTAATTGCACCTTTTAACAGAGGGTTTTCCTGGTATACCAATGGTAACCGATGGGTTCGCGCTAAATTATGCACTTCTTTTTTTAGCACGACCCAACGCCGTTTGTTTTACTTAAACTTTGACTTGCAAGCTCCTTGACATTTTAGGAACATAGGAAATAAAAATCAATTTTTTTACCATAATTTTTTTATCCAAAATAATAAATAATAATACTACACGAATTTTTGTTTGGTCTAAATAATTTCCCTCTAACGCATGGAATTACGTGGATCGCAAGTCTGTAATTTTTATTAAGGTTGCAAATATTTCACCTTGATCAAACGTGCGCTTGCCCTGCTTTCCGCATCTCCTTCGGAAATCCCAAATCAAATTAAAAGATCGTAAATGTACACGCCAATTTCTACTTTGGCCTCATGGCGAATTTCTCCCGCGATATAATTCGCATTTGCCCTCTAGCTAACAGATCGGGTAAAACCGCACCGATCTTATACTTTACAAAGAACTTTTCTCTCGAACGCGAGCACACGTATATTTCAAAAGCCAAAAGCCAGTTCTTTGGGTTTCCCCAGAATTTGATCACGGGCGTTGCAACCGAGCCGAGAAGTGAGAACCAGTCTTCGGAATCTGCCAGCAAGCAACAGAGATGAGATGCTACAGAAGGTTGCTGGAAACTCGCGCTTGGCACACACCCGACACATGACCTCACCTGCATACTTGCACTATTCATATGCCAACCTAACTGTATGACTTTGATTGATTTGAAAAGCAGCGCATATAAACAATATTGGCATAAGTTGCTCATAAGTCATACATTATCAATTTTTTCCGTCTCTTTTTAGGAAGTTTAAAAAAAAATTATCTAATCGCGATCCAGTTATTTACTCACTTTAGACATTCAAACCAAAAATAAATTCAGCCTTTTTTTCAACAATTTTTTATTTAAAGTTTTATGTTATAAACCAAAAGAGTTATGATTATTATAATTTATGAGTTTTACTTGGTCTATAATTAAGGACTTAATTGTTGAGTAACTCAACAATGGTTTTGTTTCACCTCGTCTCTGAATCATCAGCCCACGCACATTGAAGCCCAATGCTCCGCCGTGTTGACCGTGGCCCAATTCAGCTTTATCAATTCATCATTATACTGCTGTGTATTTACGCACACACAATAAATTTTTATTCCACATAATATTGCGTGAGCATTCTCGGCGGCAGACGACTCTAGCATTGTGTGCGTCACTTAATAATCGTCTACCTGTGCGCAATGCAAATTAACTAGCTCCTTTCCTATTGTGTAATTTTTAATTACAATAATAAAACGCTCTCAGTGCAATGCTCTGAAATTGTTACAAAGTGGGGGTTCCGTAATTGAGACGTAAATATTTATAAAACGTGACTTTGGAAAGGAAAGAAGGGATTTTGCATTAAAATGGTTTTCGCAAACAGAGGGGTTGTGTAAAATTTTATGAAAGAATTATCTTGAAAACAGACGAAAGTGAATGTTTACTAAATAAAAATAAAAAGAATTTCTTCAGTGGTGCCGAAAAATAATCTTATCAAAATTAAATATTAAACTCAGTTTGCTCATGTGTGTGACAATCAAACAAAGGTCATGACATTGAATTTTTATAATTTGTGTGAAAGAAAAGTGCAATTTTTCCCTGGAACTGAGATGCCAAAAAGCGACAATGAAACTTGATGAGCATCCGTTTCCCACAAAATGTGCGGATTATAAAAAAATAACAGTAGCTCTTGAGCGTGCGGGAGAATCTCAAAACCAAGGGACAATTTTTTTTCGTACAGTTGTCACATGAGCATTATGTCAAAAGTTAAAGCAGTTCAGCACGCCATGAAGCGCTTTATTTTGCATTAAGTAATTTCACGGCCAGTTAAGCATTTTGCAATATTTGTGTAGATTGCGCCCCGCAGAGTATTTTCGTGAATGGAAACGTTTCATTATTAGAGGACTGTTGTAGGCACACTCAAAAATGAAGCACTTTTATACAACACAGCCTGAGGCAGTCTTTTTCAATTTTTGCTATGTAAAAAAAATGCAAGAGACCGCAAGCGACGTGGAACTAATTTGTTTGGAATTGGCTTGCTCTTGGCGAATTTTGCAAGGGAAATATTTTATTGCGATTAAATTGTTTCATGCACATATCACTATTAACCTAGTTTATCAATACACTTTGGAATGTACAGTACAGTGAAAATTTTTATAATTAAATGAACGAAGAAAAGTTTCTCCGGTAAGATCATCCGATCTGAAACTAGATGTTTTAAATAAATAAAAAATTAAATATGCTTGAAGAAAGTAAATTTTTTAATTGAAAATCTTAGAAATTTATTTTATATTTGTTTGCGAAGAGAATAATTTAAAAATATTATATTTATTTTTCTGCATAATTTAAAGAATGACTTTTTGATTGCACTTTATATGAGGATAAATGTTTTCACACTTCCATGAACATGCATACGCAAATTTTATCTTTCTTTCAATGTGTGCATAATATTTTTTGTGCGTCATGTGCAGATGCGTACAACAATTGACATCCAAAGTCACGATCTGAGATAGCGCCGTGTGCGTACTTTTTAGTGCTGCCTTTTACGATTGAGGAAAATTATTTGCTGGTTTTTCCTGATTGACGCTCGATTGTCTCTCACCCCACCTATCATTTTCGTATTCTTTTGAAATAGAGGATTTTTTGCCTCCTGAAAGGATTGAGTACCACCAAGCACCTCATGCCTTTTTATTGGTCGGGGCAATTAAAGTTCATGAGGCTCTCGCCTGCCAGGTCATATGAAGGTCGCGTAGATCATGAGCGCACAGGCGAAAAAGCGCTCTAACGCCTGGTTGCCTGCAAATGGGCGAACGCGGCCGCAAATTACTATTTCGCTACAATTTGTCACCGCCGAGAGTTGCGACAGGGACGGATGTTTGTGTTCCAATGAAACGAACACTTAATGATGATTTGCACCCACGCTGGGCCTTGGGGTTTTAATTTGTACCATAATTTTAAAATATCACTACTAGGAAGTCGATTCTTATTAATCATAATTAATACATAATTAATTATGTATTTATGGATTGAAATGATTCAAATTTGAAAATTTCAATTAAACAAGTTAAAAATAAAATTTTACTGCTTAATAAGCGTTAATAAAATTTTAGCTTAAATTAATCTAGATTCGAATCATATATGAATTAATATTGTGTATACCTTCTTAAGGCTCACTGTCAGCGTACCGGGTGTCCATTCGGAGTCATTAACCGCGAGCGGCTCAGGAATCAAAATCGAAACTGATCCGGCTGTGTTGCTCAGTTAACTTGTGAGAGAGTGAAACATAGCTTTTCTCATCGCTCGGCTGCTGTGTTTTTTATTTGTTTTTATTGATGACCTACTCCAATATGAGGAAACTTAACACCGCCGCATCTTAATGTATGCGTGCCAACCGATTTCATTATTTATAATGTATGGAAATGACTCTGTGCGGTAAAACAGAAGTTGCATTAAGAGAAAGGAAGCGTTCAATTTCTTCTCTCAAGTGGTCCGCGGCATTCAATCTTTCAGTATCAGCATTAGAAAGCAAAAATAATATGAGCCACTGCCACAAATAATTCAAATAAATAATGCAGTGATAAATTATTATGAGTAGCAGAAAAATGAAAAGAAAATTATGAACGTTCAAATTTTATTTTATAAATTTAGTAAATATCTGGAAAAAAATGTTATCCAAATTGAAATGCTTCAAATGCATTAATTTTTATTCGTTATTTTGCAAGTTTGCAAATTTGCACACTCATTCGAGTTTAAAATAAGAATCCTTCTCAAAAATTTCTCCGTTTAATCTTTCTCTTTCTAATATTTTAGAAACGATTTTACATTATCACTGCTGGAAAGCCTGTTGCCGTTGATGGCTAAATACATTAGCATTAAGTAAGTAAAACTTGACAGGATAATTACGCCAATTAAATGAGACCTGGCCTACATCGACCCTTTTCGCAGTCATTGAACTCTCAACGTGTCTGCGCCTCTTCTAATTCTAGCAAAAAATCCTCTATCATCATAAACATGCACCGTTCGTAAGCGACTTGAAAAAGAATGTGGGGAACTAGCATACACATAATAAATTATCTTTAATATTTTTACTCACAGTTTGCAGCTGAATGCAGCGAGAAGCTGGACACAAGTCAACAAGCACTCGAACTTTCACTTTATATTTCACAAAATGCACTAGGCTAACTTATAATTTGTTCTCCTCCAAGTGCAGCACCGGCCAATCGGTGGGACAATCGAAGGAATAGTGTACTTTTTGTGCACTTCTCGCGCGACTATATAACCTGCACAGGGTCCCCCTTCCACGCCGCTCGCACGAAAACACGCTCTGGCTGACTCAAAAAGCACACGCCTCTACACCCAATTTCAGAATATTCCACTAGAAAAGCCTTATGTTTGATTCACTATAGCAGAGAATAAAAATTAATAATAGTTCGTTAAACCTTCCTAAAGGAAATGACGCAAGTTCAAATTAGAGACAGCACGAATTTTATATATGAATTTTTGTTTTCAAATCCCAATTAGTCACAAAAATTATAGATTCAGACCAGAAGTCAGTCTTGCATGAGTGATGGATGAATAACTGAAAATTTTCCTGTTACATATTAAATAGATATTAATTTTTTTCCTAGTAGTTATAATTGATACATAAATCAGCTTGATAATTTACTGAAGCCATCTTGCGGGAAGTTTTTTGTTAACAAAAAAAACAAAACAATTTGTCTCAATTTAATTGAAATTATGTACTTATTTTATATTTTTAAGAAGGAATAAAATGGCTTAAAAGAATGTACTAGAGGAGATTCTATTCAGTAGTCCTCCCGCGATAACCATTTTTATTCTTTATTCTATCCTGGGAGGACAAATAATTAAAAAAATCCCCCAATATTTTTTAAATCTTCAGATTTTTTAAACAAATTTTTCCATAACTAAGCAAAAATTATTTCCCGTAGAGTCTAATCAAAAATACATCAATTTTAATAGGTCTCTTTGCTCTAAAAAGTATTTAATTTTATTATATCCACTTACATTCCACAATTTAATTATAAAAGTAAATGGAGACAATAATTTTTAATTAAAATGTTTTCGAAATTCCCATCCGCATATCATACCACTTTGTATTCGTAATACGTAAGCGACAGCTTTGGCGTGAAATTTTATTTGCATTCGTGTTTCCCTCCAGCTACCGCAAGAGCCGCTTCCTTGGTTTGCTGCATGGCAGTTCTTTGGCCGAAAACTAGCCCATTTTTATTTTCTAATACACGCAGGTCTTCCCTCGGTCACTGCCGTTTCCTGCTAAACGTTTGTTGATATAAAAACAAACTACAAACTTCCTTTCAAATTTTTGGTTAGGTATCTTTTTCAAACTTTATTTCACGCTGAAAAATTTAATACACTGATTTGACAGCAGCTTCTTGCCCAGTTCAATCATATTTATTAGCATATAATACAGGAGTAATTTTTCTTTTCTTTTCCCACTGAAGCTAACTTGCAAAAGTGAGGAAACTAAATATTGAACTATAAACATAGCCAGTTCATTTTTTTAATTATTTATGACAAACAAGGAAGCCCGAAAAGAGTCCGCAGAATGAGCGGAAGAGCAACAAATATTTAATCACGGTTTAAATTTTTGCACACGTGTATTTGGGAACAATGCGAAAGGTCACGCCACGGTGCATAAATTAAAGTTCACAGTCACTTTAGCGAATCGCTGCGCCAAGTTCAATTACAATTATGCAATCACCTTCAATTTTATCTCTGACTGGGTGCGCAGTCGTAAGGACGTAACGTATAATTCTCATAAAACCGACTTTTTTCTCAAACAATACGATTGTTCGCGCAGCAAAGCTGCGGTTTCGCAGCGCAGAAGAAGATAAGAAAAGAAGCGCAGAGTCTCTGCTTTTCTTTGTTGGCTCTCCGCAAACACATGACCTACCTATGCATTCTCATTTATACTTGCATATTTAACTACCAGCTTGTCCTGCACAACGTTGCTTCTCACTTTATTAGCATCCCTTCCTCTAAGAATGGTGTTTTACAGCTTTTTTGTTTGCTTTGCATCATTGATCTAATTCTTTCCTTATTTATCTGACTGAATCATCGTTTAAAGTGCTCTTGCAAGAATATCTTAAGCAAAAGTGTTATACATCCAGTTTGTTCAAACAATTTTGTTTTTAATGAGCAATCATACAATTTTACAATGCATATTCTGTAATCTGTCATAAATTATCAATTTCTGATTATTGCTGCAAGAGAATTAATAATATTCTATTGATAATAACTTCACTGTAAAAAGTGAAAAAACATTTAAATGATAATAATTATCTGAATCAATCTCAATTTTCATTAATTTTTAATCTTATTATAAAAATTCATGAGACCAAAATTGAGAAATGTGTTGCGTAAGATAATTTAAAATTTTTAATTCATAAAAACCGCTCAGCATAACTCATCTCCTACTGATTTTATTTTAATTTTAAAGCCATTGAAAAATATACTGGTTTATCTACATAAATCCTTATTAAAGAATTTTCATTTCATTCTGTTGATCTATAAAATAAGAATTTATTTTTAGAACACAATCATCTCATGAAAAAATTTTACTAACGTATTGTGTGTGTGCGTCATCAGCGATGAAACCTGTCGGCATACACTGCATGTCTGTATACGTCTGAAGCCCCCACATATCATTACGTTTGGCCCTGGCACACTGCACAGGTAACTTCATCCTTTCTTTATGTTGGCGTGCGCACTGCTACTTTTCGGGCTTCCCTTCACATATAAACCCGGTCGTTTTCCTTGTGCGAAAAACCAAAGGAAACAAGGAAGAAAATCAGTTGCTAACGTAAAGAGGAACGTGACTCCCATTCGACACATTTCAGCTGCAGGACGAGAAGAGACGCAGAGGAAGAAAAAGATAAGCCAACCGCCGGAGTGTGCGACGCAGGTTTCTCTCTCTCTTGCGAACAGCAGACAGCTTAAAACACTGTATAATTTATCTAAATTTGCTTTGGTTGCTTTAAATTGCCAATGTGAAACTTTTGAGCTAAGACATTTTAATTTAAATTAAATGAAATAATTACAAAATAGTGCTTTCGTAAGAAAAGGGAGTGTGCTAATAATTTATTGCTTTGAATTTTTGTCGTTCCTATAAAATATAAACGATAAGAGATAAACCCATATTTGAGAGATAAGGCTTCCACTAGAAAATACAAAAATATAGCTTTTAGCTTTTATAGACGAAAGACCAAGGAAAATTTCAGTCATCATTAGAGGATGTAATTTATAGAGAGCTTCATGAAATCTACATATTGTTCTTTCCGATTTTGCCAATTTTTTGTTAGTCATAAATAATTTGCTATTATTTATCATCAATATTTTCTAAGTAAAATATTAATATGCAAGGTAATGAAATAAATTTAAAATATTTTTATGCCCTTTGTTTCAGTATGTCTAAGAAAAATTGTTTTATTACCAGTTTATAACAGTACATTATGTAATTAAAAATGTATTTAACCAACAACAAAACAATTTTAGATAGTTTACTTTCACACGTCATGCTGGTTGACAAATTTAAATACACTTTTCCGCTTTTGGTTTGGCAAAAAAAAAAACGAACCCGCAGGTTTAATTAAAACAAAACAAATCCATTTCCCAACTAATCAGCCCTTCTTTTTTTGTCCAAACAAAATCACAAAAGCTCTTTGTGAATGAATTATTCGCTCTCTGTGAATCTGCGTGAAAATAAAGTCCATCATCATTTTCCAAAAATATGAATAAAAAGGCAGCGTCCGTCATGAACTGATGGGTCGGAATTGTCACACGATCGCCCACTGCAACGCGTCACCAATTATTCACCGTATCGCTAATTAATCATGCGTTCCGAAAGCATTTTCCCGCGCGCCGCGTGTGCCAACTGATGGATATGGGCACGCGAATTTTCGATCGAGCAAACAAATTAATAAGTGTCGGGCCGATAAGCAAATAAAGTGGTTAATTAGGCCAGTTGGCTATTTTATCGCCAATGCCAAACAACAAACAAAGGCTGGTGGGTATGATGCGAGTTGGGCGAAAGTGCCAAAGGCCGTTAAGCCTTTTGTAACATGTAACCGTCCAACCGTCAAGGTGCGTACATATTAAAAAGCAAATCACTGGAATTAGCTTGGTGTTTTACCAGCTTCTCTTTGTTTTCCCTTTCCATTGCGAATAAATTACCTCTTTTGGCCAATTTGACGAGCCAATGATTTGCTCCTTCTCTCCTTACATTTTTAATAATTTTCTTCCTCTGAGCGCATCGATCGCCAAGGCTGAACTGAATATTCAATTATTTTCCTCCTAGTTACAAGGCGCGCACAATGCATGCAGAAAGATTTCGACAAATGGAAAAGCGAGACGTGACTTTTAGAGCCTCTAAAGTGCGAGATTTATAGCCTTTATGGGCGACCATTGTTTTCTATGCCAGCATTATTTTTTCCACGCGCAGGCCGACTCTGATTGCATTAATTTTTCAAGCGGAGAGTGTGAGCCTCGAATCTCATATGTTGACCTCATTGTTAATGCATGGAAATAGACATCCAGGGAGAGAGAGAGAACTGAGGCATTCATTGATTCTTTGCTCAAAATAAATAATTTGCCTCTCATGAACCTTAAAAAAAAAAGAGTAAAAATGAGCACAGTTTTAGAGAAAAATTTTTCATAATGAGAAAACGGCTTTATTACTACAATCGCTTAACGATCAAGGAATCTGTTATTGGAAAAAAGCAGCCATTTTCTTATCTGTGAGCATTTCGTGCGTATATTGTATTTGTCATCAAAATAAGAGGGAATTTAATCCACCCTAAAGAAGCCTTAAGTAGTTAATCTACATTACAATGAAAATATTTTCTAGGAATCGTTATCAATTGGCAATTGTTTCTCGAAGGAAAAAAAAATTGCGCCTCAAAATTCTCAATGAACCTGACCCAAAATTCTGAAAATAAACTCCAGACCATCATTTAATTATTTAAAACTTAATTTCTTGTAATTCTTTAAAAATTTACTTTGTCGTAATTTCTTTCCGTAGCAAATAAAAAACTCTAGCTCACATAATATATAAAGCCACCTTTGATGTTGCACAAAGAGCAAATAACTGAAAAGTCACATGGGCCTCGATTTAGCTGCTCTACGAAAGGTGTGTGTGCTCGTATCGTGAGCTGAATAACTAAATGCGGCAGCAAGTTAAAGGGAAATCTTCGGCGCAGAGCCACGCAGTCTGAGCCCCACAGCTCGATCCAAAGTGAACAGCCTGAACGGATCATATATGATTAAACCGGCAATATTAAGACTTTAGCTTCCTATGGTCGGTTCAATCCGGTTTGGTTTGAATTATTTTAAAAACAGGGTAAATAATTAATGCTAACGTGAGAGGATATTAAAAAAAAGTTGCCAGATGTTTACTCCGTTGCGTGCACACAAGTGAGTTTGCGTAATTATAATGAATGAAAACAAGCAATTTTTATAATCCTATTTAATTATTTAGACATTTTTAATCTTTTTGTCAGTACCACGTTGATGATCCTAAATAATTCCTCTTTATTTACGACCCAATGAGATATCTAAACTATTTAATCTTTTAATTCATGCGCACTTTGCAGAAGATCATTCATTTGTCTGACAATGAACAGGTCTTAAACCTTCTTTACATAGTCTAGACCTTCAATCTCGCCTTAGGATTTGCGAGGATTAAATGTGTAAAAAAATGCCTTCCAGCGCTGACCTTATCATTTAAATCAATACTTGTTAATTTTCAAATTTGATGTAATATTATCATTTTTAAACACTTATGCAACTTTCTCGCAAAAATCTTTGAAATATGCATTGCAAAAGAACTTGCAGTTATATTTTTAGATTATTTAAAAATGTAATGTTTTAAAAAGGAATTCCTTTTTTACTGCGTGCGAGTTTAAAATTCGTTAAGGAAAACTTAGCATAGCAACTGGCAAAAGCCCCGTAGATATGTTTTAAATATCTCATGTTGCTGCGATCTCACTTGATGTATCATGTTGTTGGGGCTTTCCAGGCAATGGACTTGCCGGTTTAAATAGAGGTCTGTGCAATAAATAAATTTTACGGCAAGAAATTTTTTTTCGCACTCTAGCTACAGAAGAAAAAAAAAGCTAAAACGGATCATTAGTCCAGCCTAATGTACCTATTTGTGATTGGACTTCAGATGCGTGTAGCATGATTATTAATATAAATAATTTTCATTGGATGGGTGGCTTGATCGCACGTTCTTCGCGCGTGATCGCAGCACACCGAATAACCTGGTTGGGTAGGATTCGTTGCAGACTTGGAAATCCCCAGCCAGCTGGAGTTTTGATCTGCTCTCTCTTATTGCCGAGGTGAGCCAAGTGACGGCTTCGCGAAATTTGGAGATTGAGACTCGAGATAAGGAGGGTTTGCAGAAAATACTAGAAATTACCAGATCTTAAATTCACACGATCAAAAAATCTTCAGTGTGGCAATGACCTCAATTATTGTAATTTTGCTAAAGTGATCGGGTATTGTTCTCTATTTCAATTAAGGCTGTTATTTAATAGGCAGATATTTCTTTAATAAAGAAAAAAATTATTTTATTAAGTTTTGTCTTTTAATTTCAGTCTTCTAATTTTAAAAAAAAAAAGATGAATGATTTATATCAGTTTGATTCTCTTTTCTAGGCAGTTGTTCAGGCTCACTATCAACAAAATTTAACTTAGTTTTGGCAAATTAGGTTTATTCTGTCTAGAGCCAAGCTGTTCATATTCACTCGGAATTTTTTAAGGCAAAGCTGGCCACGTCTCTCCATCATTAAAGCGCCATAGCAAAAAGCAGTCGAAGCTGCTTGAGAAAGAGAGAGTATGTGTGCAATTCCATTTTAGTAGCATGAAACAATAAAGTGCAAAAGGGTTGTTCCGCGAAAAGTAGCCTTTCCTCGTTAAACGAAGCAGTACAGCGTCTTCCATGCTCGCTTGTCTCATGCCATCCAGCACGGCCGTATTATAAAAGAAGTGCTTCTTCTCTCCGACATGAAGCTCTCAGGCTTGCAGCGGCAAAGTGGCAAGATTGCCATTTAATTATACAATGTATGTACTTACATGCACTTGGACTTGTAATATCAGCGAGAAGATGGGACTTTTGCTCATTTAATTGCTGCCGGGGCTTTGTCAGAGGATCTTGATTGTCTATTTGAGAAGCTCTTTACTTAAAGCTTAAGCTAGAAGAAAATAATGACGCAGATAATGGCACAAGTAGATTAACCGTGAATGAAAATAGAAAAAAGCGTATCATCCCACTTGATTATAATATTTTATAATCTAATATAGCACAAAGTTAAAACTCTAGTGTATAATTTTTATTATCTATTCAGAGAATGGCATAGGAAGTAAAGTTAATTAACCATTATAGGAGTTATTTTTTTATGGAAAATACGGATAATATAATGTTTTAAGAGATGAATGTAATTTAGTTCACAAGGAGACATTTTTTCCTTGGAATAAATTATCTTCTCTTTATATTTTGATTTAACGCAATGTAAAAAGAGTTTGTGGTTACGGATAAATGTGAAGAGTTATATTTTATGATTTAAATCTATTATTTAAAAAATTGAAACAGGGTACAGTGCATTTTTGAGAAAACATCAACTATGTACATGTGACATATTTCTATAATTAAAATTTAAATGCTTTAAATTGACGGGCACTATAACGCAAAAATTGGAGATTAGTAGGTAAAATATAATATTAATTAATGAAATTTTTCAGATTGTATTTCTCAATTTTTCAGATTTAATTTATATCTCTTATTTAAATTATTGGGGGGGGGGGAAACAAGTTTTAAGTAAACAAATTAATTACAAATATTATTACCAATCAAAAATATCAATAAATAAATTTTATAAAATTTTATAATTACACAATTGATTTTTTTTTTGTGTTTTCAGAAATTAAAAAAAATTGTAAATAAAAAATATTGATAAAGCTCTATTAAATATTTGCAAAGCAAGAATCTAAAGGTTAGCAAGTTCGTTGAAATGAAATTGTTCTACTCTTATCAGGAGATAATTTGACCAAAACATAAATACCTTTATGGAGCAAAGAATCGAGACTCAGAGAACTGCCAGTGGATGGCGAGAGCGTCTAGGTGTGGAGCACCGTCGGTCGGGAGGCGGCAAAAGTCGACGGTACGACCGAAAGATGCCGCTGACGGTGCTCGGCCGCGACCCACGTGACCAGAAAGGCGGTTCTGCTCGCCGACTTTTGATCTCGCGGGACACACACATTGCCTACACCACACACTTCCTCTCTTCAAAGGCTTGCATCTCCAAATTAGAGTTTAATTAGCGCCACCGCGAGCGAGTAATTGCGATTGGCTATTTTAGTCCGTGTGCGACGACACAGGCGGAAAACGAATAAAAATAATTCGCTGCAACATGCGTTTCGTCATCGAGAGCGGGACTTGAATTGCAAGTCAATCGATCAGATCAGCAGAGATGACCAATCTTTAGAACGGCGCGCAAAAGCTCTGATTTGGAGATGCACTTTTGCCCGATGGTGCACTTGACTGCACTCGGTCTAGTGCTGCTGGCCGGATCCACCACCACCCTGGCAGCCAACAATAAGACTGAAGGTGAGCTTTAATCTACAATTCGCATATTTTTTGTAAACAAAATGTTCCCCCAAGGAATTTTTAGTGTATGCAAATTAATGATATTTACGAAATATAATCGTTTAAAAATAATTAAAATAATTGCAAAAATAATTTTTTTAACATTGTCAGGATATAAAATACTTGTGAAATGAGAATTTGTCAGGTTTTACCCATGAAAAAATATTTTCGCCAATTTTAAACTGCAACATATATTTATGAAATCCATTCTTTTATTAAGACTAATATGAAGAATGTATGATGCTTTAATTAAAATATTGCAAGGTTAAAAGTTATTGAACCAATATATTTTGAATTATTTTAAAAAAGTGACAATCATATTATATGCAATTTATGAGGAAAATTAAAATAAATAATTTTTAGCTTTAGAAAATAATTATAATAAATACATTTTAAAATTAAAATATGTATACACAAAATTTTTGTTTTCATTTAATTAGTCGGAAAGAAACATAAATCTTCAACTAAATTCCATTCTGAAATTCTTATTTATTTTCATTTTTTTAAAAATAGTTTTTTCTTAAAAATAAATCTTTAATAATTTTGGCTTAACTTTAAAGATTATTTATTGAACTTCAATTATAATATTTTAGTTTTGACTCTTAATAATCAACATAAAGATAAGAAGTGCAGGGAAACCATTCACATTTGGCTTCAACCAATTTTTGCAATAATACGTAGTAGCCATAATTCGCGATAAGCCTCTTAAGATTTGTTATTATTTGTGGTCGGAAAGTCTTGAAAATCGCTGACCTGGGGCGAAAGTACTTTGAGTGTCTCCGGCAAGGGAGCAGCCAAATAAATTGGCTATTTTAGCCACGGTAAAACTTTTCCTGCGTCCCCTAGTCGCGCGCACATGTCATCTTTTCCGCGTTGATCCGCTCAAAAGTGGTGGATTTGTATCAGGACGGTTAATCTCCGAGATGAGAAAGACGAACGCCGACATAATACCGGAGATATGGTTTTATGACCGGCCGCAATATTGGCATCAGCCGCCCCATAAATACCTGCTCCTCATTTCACCTCTTATCAATACTTGTTCAACTTTATTACTCAACTTCTCATGTGACGACAAAACTCGTAAAAAAGTTCGCTCGTTTGTTCTCTCCGCTCTGAAATATTAACGCCTGCTGTGCCCCGAGTTAGATCGAAATCGCCTCTTTTTGCCACCTTTTGACGCGCGCGATCATCTCCCGTCGCTATCTCGCCCGGATAATTTGTATTTATGGCAAAAAGTGTTAAGACGCCCGAGCGTCACTCTGTCACTTAATAATGTAAATATAATGTCATAATCGATATACACGCACACGCTGCCTTATATATTTCCCACCAAGATGAGAATTTGGTGCGCCAGTGAGAAAAGGGCTGTGTCGCGATCAACACCTCATCTCGGCGGAGGCAACACTCCTCCTTCTCTGTTATCTCAGCGTATATTATGGTCCAACATGTGCACCATGCAGAGACAATTTTGTTTGAGAAAATGGGAATATTCTCGCAGAGGAGACAAAAAATGACAAAAATTGTAGCGTAAACTTGAACGTATGGTGTGCTAGTTTATATTTCATGAAGTTGAAACAAGCTTCTTTGGGTGATGCTTCAGGTTTATTCTTTCCCGAACAAACTTAAAAATTTTAGCTCATAGTTATGGCAGACACAGTATTTTTAAACTGGAAATTTTTTGCCAACAATTTTTCAAATATATAAAATTTTTTGAGTAACGCACAGTTTCAGTTTGCAGATTTTGTAAAGTGTGCATTTATTTTAAAATTTATTTATATCCACATATTTCATGCATCTTCAGAACAATGATATGAAAAAATTGAATTCTATTCAGATCTTTAAAATTACGAATTCGTTTATTATTTGCATAGTGAAATAATGTATTTACATAAAAGGGTTTTGGGCAATTATTATTGTAAACCAAATGTGACATGAGAAAAGTTAGAACTTATAAATGCCAGTCAAATGCATTATTATTAATAAATATATACGTTTTATAAATAAAAGTAATATAGTAAAGTTACTTTGTATATTTTTAGGTTATTATTTTATTTTTATACAAAATATGCTCTATATCTTATTTTTATTTATCAATTTTTTTAAATAAATCATAACAATGTTTTATAGATATTTTTAGAGCTAGTACCTTTAAATATTTCTCTCTGTGTATTAATCATCATAAATTTTATTTAACAATCTTTATTTATAAACAAAAATTCAGAAAAATTAAATATTTTTTCACTTATTCATTCCTCTATATTATTACAATGAGAGCATCATTTTTGCTATGAGACATTTGTATTCCTGTCATGAAGTATTATAAATTATTGGAATTAATTATGGTATTCATTTTATACTGATTAATTTAAATGTATTTTTAAAAATTAAATTGAATTAAAAAATGATGAATTTTACTAATAATGACATTGAAAATTATTCTACAAAATATATTCCATCAACTTGAATTGTGGGAAAAATTTATTTACATCAAGAAATTCATTTTCCTTCAGTAAAAAAATATTCGAAATTCCGCAAATAAAAAAGTAACACAGAAAATCAATTTTTTTATTATTATAAATTACAAGCAAGAAGCAACTCCAATATGAATACTAAGTTTCAGCGATGGCCGCTGAAAAAACAGAAGGTTGGAGATCTTTGTCTTTGAGGGCTGACGCAGCCTCTGTGTGTAGAAACGCGCATTTATTATTATTTATCAAGCACGGGAGGAGAAACAAGAGGCAGAGGCCAAAAGTTGTTTCCCATCATAAAGTGCAAAAATGAGAGTAGTTGCGATGCCGGGCGGGCGATAAAATTCAGAGGAGCTCTTCTCATCTCTTGTAGCGCTGAATTTTATTTCTAGCCGCGCTCTGATGATTTTTCTTCACAAAAGCCACATTGTGGTCAAGCCATAAGACGGCGGCTTTAAAATAATTCTCCTCGCTTTTGATTTAATCTGCACCCGCGTCTGTTTTAAATTTCGGAGCTGACTGAGGATTTTTTCTTTGCTTTTGCGCTGCGGACGCACGCGATTCACACTTTCCATAACACATGTAAATGAAAACTCACGGGGAACAAAGTGATGAATAAATATTTTGGCAGACTTGGCAAAAGGCGCCCGCATTTTTATGCCCGCACATTGTTCACTGCGGCTGCCGCGGGAGGAATGCCCTTCAATTAATCACGAAGCGCCCGCTAATCGAACACGCTGCTCTCGTTGTATATTTTGAAATGCCGCCCTTCTACTTCTAACGTGCTGACAAAAAATTGTTCCACTTGTTCTTTTAATAGAGAGACGCGCACTGATCGCTTAACGCATCGGACAGAGGGCCATGCTTCTTGTAGTTAAGCGTTCGGCTCACGTGATCGGACGGCGAGTGAATTATTTGCCGCCTGCACTATTCGAGCCACTAACCGAAAGTGCCAGGAATTGCAATTGGAAAAAGGGAGGGTCAGCTATTAACTCTTGTGTTCTTGACAACCAAATGTTTAGGAGGCTTAAAAATTTTCTAATTTTTTTTTAAAGAAAAAAATTAACAATAAAAAAATTGAATTTATTTTTATTTATTAGTATATTTTTATGTCTCTCTGCTTGCGTCAAGTAAAATCAAGAGTTAAAGCTGCTGCTTCAAATAATTATAAAGCTATTTTTCCAGAAATTAAAGTGCTTTGAGAAATAATTTTGACGTTTTTTAACGTTTTCTCGATTTTTGAATATTAAGCTCTTTTGCGGTAAATAAGAGCAAAGCAAAAAAACTCTGCTTGCGTCAAGTAAAATTAAGTGTTCAAGCAGATGCGGCATAAAATGCTTAAGCTTTTTTTCTAGATTTTAAAGTGCTTTGAGCAATATTTTGGTCGATTTTCCGTTTTCTCAATTTTTGTACATTAAACAATTTATCAATAAATTAGAGCAAAGCAAAAAAACTCAGCTTGCAACAAGTAAAATTATGTGTTCAGGCGGATGCAGCATAAAATGCTTAAGCTTTTTTTCTAGATTTTAAAGTGCTTTGAGCAATATTTTGGTCGTTTTTTCCGTTTTCTCAATTTTTGTAAATTAAACTATTTATCAATAAATTAGAGCAAAGCAAAAAAACTCAGCTTGCAACAAGTAAAATTATGTGTTCAGGCGGATGCAGCATAAAATGCTTAAGCTTTTTTTCTAGATTTTAAAGGGCTTTGAACAATATTTTGGTCGTTTTTTCCGTTTTCTCAATTTTTGTATATTAAACTATTTATCAATAAATTAGAGCAAAGCAAAAAAACTCAGCTTGCAACAAGTAAAATTATGTGTTCAGGCGGATGCAGCATAAAATGCTTAAGCTTTTTTTCTAGATTTTAAAGTGCTTTGAGCAATATTTTGGTCGTTTTTTCCGTTTTCTCAATTTTTGTAAATTAAACTATTTATCAATAAATTAGAGCAAAGCAAAAAAACTCAGCTTGCAACAAGTAAAATTATGTGTTCAGGCGGATGCAGCATAAAATGCTTAAGCTTTTTTTCTAGATTTTAAAGTGCTTTGAGCAATATTTTGGTCGTTTTTTCCGTTTTCTCAATTTTTGTAAATTAAACTATTTATCAATAAATTAGAGCAAAGCAAAAAAACTCGGCTTGCAACAAGTAAAATTATGTGTTCAGGCGGATGCAGCATAAAATGCTTAAGCTTTTTTCTAGATTTTAAAGTGCTTTGAGCAATATTTTGGTCGTTTTTTCCGTTTTCTCAATTTTTGTAAATTAAACTATCAATAAATTAGAGCAAAGCAAAAAAACTCAGCTTGCAACAAGTAAAATTATGTGTTCAGGCGGATGCAGCATAAAATGCTTAAGCTTTTTTTCTAGATTTTAAAGTGCTTTGAGCAATATTTTGGTCGTTTTTTCCGTTTTCTCAATTTTTGTAAATTTAACTATTTATCAATAAATTAGATCAAAGCAAAAAAACTCAGCTTGCAACAAGTAAAATTATGTGTTC